GTAGATAAGAATTCTTAAATGGGCCCTCCCCGGTGGCACAGTGGGTTAAAGCACAGCACTAAGAAGCTAAAGCCACTTCAGCATGAGTTCCATCCTAGCCCTGGAACTGATCCACGTGGTGTGGCAGACCTCTCCTGACCTGCCCGCTGCTCCCCTCAGCAGTGTACTTCTTCAGTTGGCCTGTTCTGCTCCTCACTCTGTCGCTGGTGAATCTTCTCACCACCCCTGCACCTCTAGCCTGTACCCCAGTTCTGTATGCATAAATAAAATGAATCTTAAAAAAAATCTTAAACATAATATTGGTTGACCTGCTAAAGCACCTAGAAGAATAAGCCTTTTGCATTTTATTTTTAGCTGGTTTGCCTGTATATCAGGGAGGAGGACCTTACTCCTGGGGGTGCTAAACCTGGGTGGACTTTGTAGGGATAACTTGAGCCTTTGAGGAGAGGTTTCGATCTCTTGCCAAAGAGGATGGGGAGGGCTGGGCAAGCCCTTATTTAGGTCACTGTGACATCACTGCTGTGAGGTTTGCCTTTTGTGGGATGGTTTGAAGTGTCCACAGCACTGTGTCTCCGGATGTGAGTTCAGAAGGCGTGACTGACTCAATATTGACCAAGGGTGCCACACAGATTCAAGTGCAAGGAGATCAGACTTTGGCCCCTCCGTGTGGGTCCTGGCTGCATCAGTGGGGTGGCAGGCTATCCCAGAACTTTAGTGCAAGGCAGCAGAGGTTGGAGCGGCAGCTTTCAGGGCTCAGCTATTGAGCAAGGAATTGCCTGAAACACAAAGGCAGGTTAGGTGGGGAAGCAGAAAATGCAGTAACTAAGACCCTTTTCCTTCCCTCTTCCTGACTTTCCTGAAGAAATCCTCATGCACATTTATGTCTGTTGTGCTTGGTGCTTAGGACACACTCACAGTGATCCCATCTAGACCTCACTGAAAGCCCATGTTGCAGGTGTGTGGCTGTCTGCGTCATGAGCAGATCCCCCAGGTGGGCTCTGGCCCGAGGGGCCCGTGGCTGTGCCAGCCTGTCCCTGTCTAGGGGGAAGGATCACGGTCCAGCAGCAGCTGGGGCGAGTCTCCGCTATGTCCCTAAAATTAAATAATTAGCTTCCAGCAAGCAAACTGCTGGCTCTTTTGTATACTCCAGGTACAGCCAGTCTCTGGATGTAGCTGGTGTGGGAGAAAGCCCACACCAGTGGCTTTGACCCACTCCTGACCTGAGAGGGCAGAAGCAGTTTCTCACCTGGCTCTTTTCCACCACCTGCCAGAAGAGAGAAAGTTGTCATCTCACATTTCAGATGTGTTTACTCAGACCTGGCAGGTGGCTGTGGGATGTGGCTGTTTGAGCTCATGTCACTGCTGTGGCACATCTTTCTCTGTGCTGGGTGCAGGAAGCCGAGTTTTCCCTTCTCTGGACATGTTTCACGTGTAATTCCATCACTTTTCTAGCCACCCTGCTCAGGTGTAGTGATTCTTTATTCACAGAAGACTTATACCTCTGAGCTAAACCATCCAGCAGGCAGCCACAACATTTGCAGAGTGGGGGACCAGCTTCTGGGCTCAGGGAGGCAGGGACCAGGCTTCTTGTCCTGGGATCTCAGCAGTGGGCAGCACAAATAGCCACATCCCCCAGGCCACCTGCCAGATCTGAGTAAACACATCTGAAATGTGAGATGCCACGTTTTCTCTCTTCTGGCAGGTGGAGGAAAAGAAACCCTCTTTCCTGGGTCCTCAGGAAAGAGAGGAGCCTTACCCTGGCTTGTGTTTATGGTGCCCATCCCGTGAGACTGCTTTGCTCCTCACTCTTCTTTGGCTTCTTCTGGGTCCCCATCAGCTTCCTAGCAGGCTGTCCACCAGGGACAGCATACATTCTCTCCCCAGAACCTGTTATGTCTGTGCTGGCCAGGACTCTTGGTATTTTGGAAGGGATGACTGGGGTTCAAAGCTGAGGTCCCGAATTCTAAGAGGGTTATCAACAGTTTGGAACAAACTACGCCCCGAGGTGTAATGAAGTAGCCCAGAAGTAGCCGAGCTGTCACCTGTAGTCGCTCTAGTAGTGACTAGTAGTCAGGCCAAGCAGAGGTGCAAAGGGGCAATCTGTGAGAGGCTGGTGTTCCGTGCTCCGGTAGGGTGTCTGCTTACAGTGGAGACCTGAGGCTCTCTGTCATCCTCTCAGAGCTAAATTGGAGACAGCTGGCAGGGCAGAGCAGGCGGGCATAGCCAGTCGTGATGCTGTGATTTAGCATAAGCAATGCACATTGGGTCTTCTTCCAGTGCCTGGCAGAGCCCCCCAAACTCTTGGAATTTCCTAGGTAATGTGAGTAGTAAGAGTAATAAAAGTGTCTCAGTATTCATAGCACATCCCTTTCTACCACAAGTGGGTTTATGTTAATGAGGTGACTTTTGGAGCTCCTAACGATGGGGGCTGGCAGAATAGAGAGGAGAGGGTTGGAACTTGCATTCCTACCCCTGACACCTCGGGAGGGGGATGACAAGTGCTTTAAATATCCTTGCCTGTGCCATGAGGCCTCCTTGCGAGCCCAAAGGATGGCTTCTGGAGCGCCTCTGGGTTGTGAGCATGTGTTGGGAGGGTGGGCCTGGAGAGGGCTGGGAAGCTCCGTGCCTTCCCCTGCCCACTTCCCTTCTAAATCTCCTCCATCTGACGGTTCCTGAGTTACATGCTTTTAAAATAAACCGGCAATCTATTAAGTGAAGTGTTTCTTGAGCTCTGTGAGCCACGCTAGCAAATTAATGGAACCCAAGGGGGAAGGCACTGTGGGGCCTCCAGGTGTTGTCTGTCCACTGGAAGCACAGGCCCTGGAGTTGCAACAAGCACCTGAGTGGGTCTGTTGGCGGGAGGGCAGAACTCGTAATTGTGGGGTCTGATGTGATCTCTGGAAAGGTGATATTAGAACCGAGCTGAACTGTATGTAGCACACCTACTGGAGAATCAGCTGCTGTGAGGAAAACACATTCACACACAGTTGGTCTCAGAATGATACTAACCATGGCCAGTAGTCATGACCCAGGCGGCTGGTCTGTGTTCTGCACAGTTCTCTAAGTTCTTAAAGGTCAACCCTGGGCACTGCGCAGGCTGAGAGGTGTGAGGCTGCAGTGCATGATGGAGTAGACAGAGGTGACATCCAGGCTGCTGCTGCCACCGTGGTGCCTGGAGGCAGTGTTGGGGTGGGGGTGGGGGGCTAAATACTCCTGGGGTATAGTACTCTTTACATTACTTATTTGGCATTTTTTTTCAGGCCCTCTCTCTGATCCTCTGTCCATTTTTTTTTTTTAAGCTTTTGTTTCTTTTTCCTTCTCACTCTAATTAGGCATATGCTGTGATTTCTCTCTCTCTCTGCCTCTCTGTCAAAACATAAAGGTTGCAGCCTTCGGGTCAGGCTCAGGTTCTTCCTGCCCATCTCTGATGAACAGGTTCTGGTAAGACTCTTGGTTAAAAAAAAAATATATGTAGGTACACTTCCTAAAGTCCCCAATTTCGCTGTCATGTCTCTGTCACAATCCCATGCCAACACTTATGCTTTCAAGCTAAGGTGAAGTTTCTGCATCATCTGTGAAGTACATTTCAGTCTGATTTAGCCCAGCGAGACTCAGAGTGAAAGGCTTTTTCTTTGCCATCCAGGAAACTAACAAAGCAGCTGTCAGAATGGAAATAAGAAAGCTGGCGTAAAAGAGGAATAAAGTTTTTAAAATCATAGCCGGAGTTTTATGGGTAAGGCAGATGTACTCATAAGTCTACAAAGTACAGGATGTTAGAAATCGACACCTGAAAGACTGAATTTCAGGGGGTGAAAGGGCAAGTAACCTTTCGGAACATGTGGTGGTGAGCAGTGCAGCTTTTGCAAGCTGGAGTAGGGAGTTCAACCCGAATCTGGGACCCAGCAGCCTGTGTCTGCTCCCAGCCTGTCTTCCCGGCTGTGCACAGGGCTCTCACCTGCCTTCCTCCCCAGGGGCGTTCTGCAGCCTAGAGAGGAGATTGCTGGGGAAGACAACGGAGCTCTCTAAATCCTTCCTCTTACTTGCTGATGGTCACTAGTGTTACTGCTGCTTCTAATAAACAACGGGCCTCTAACAACCCCAACGCAGGCAGCGTCAGCAACTTAGGCTTGTCCAAAGGTTGCTATTAGAATTCTGAAAGACAAGGGTAGGTTGGCAGGGTCGTCGCTCTGAGCTGCCCTGACTGCTCTCACATTTTTTGACTCCCAGGAGATTCCTCATGTGTGGCTTGTGAAGGGCAGAGGAGTAGGAAGACTCGCGGATCAGAGGATTCTGGCCGGAGTCCCGGACTGGGAGTGGACACCTCGGAGTCTGCTGGCCCATCTGTCCCACGAGGCTTAGTTGAGGTCTCTGACTTCTTAGGGCCCTTTCTTGATCTGTAATCTCTTGTCACTGGAGGATGCATTGTTCTCAGCCATGAAGAGCCACACCCTGTGCCACTAACTAAGGTTATTTTGCTTGTACAGTTGGCTTGTCACTGTGTTTATGGATGAGATACACATACCAGGTAGACTCACTGCCACGGTGGGTCTCCCCCCACCCCCAGCTGAGAATCATTCACCCCAGCTGTGTCCTTGAGGGTACTGGCAGACTCTCCTGTGTCTGAATTTGGTCGATCACTAAACCTGTGCCAGAGTCTTCACAGCATGAGTTGTTAGTATTTCCACAAGGTTTAGTCTTTCTAGTAAAAATGTTTCCATCTAAGTGTTTTATAGGTGCTCATGTTATTTTTGAGTTGGAAAAGTCAGGAAGGCATCTGTATAACTACTTATTAGCCTCTGGTTCCAGACAACTGCCACAGGATATTGTAGAATCCTAGAGTATGGGATGGAAGAGGACTCAGAGATCACTGTAGCAGCTGGTATTCAGTCGGGAAAACAGAACCTGCTCTAGGTATTTTAAACAGAGGGAAGATAATACATAGAATTCATTAAACAGAGGGAAGTTAATACATAGAATTCATTACAGAAGAGTTAGGAGGGATGGAGGAGCCAAAAGTACAAGGATCCCCAAAGATTAATAACTGCCGGAAGCTGCTGGCCCCCCAGGCCAGAGGACGTGCCCACTGCCTGGGCTGGAGCCCAGCGTCCCACACTCTGGGAGTGACATGCAGATATTCCCCTGCGCTCCAAGGCCAAACGCAGCCACCGGCCACAGCTGCCACCCAAGGGGCTGGGAAATGTAGTCCACAGAGTGGCCAGAGGGAAAGGGAGCCAGGTTTGCTGAACAACTGGGCTGTGCCGCGCACGGTCAGAGGAAGGAGGGAGCAGCCACCCTTGCAGAGGGTGCCGTCAACTGCGTACCCACATGCCTGCCCTGACACAGTAGGGTGAAGGTGCCTTAAAGCTGATGGCCGCCGCCCCCTCACAGACCGCCCAAGAGCTGCCGAGCTGATTTCCGTGTGCTGTTTTCAGGAGGCCCTGGCCCAGCCCCAGCCCTGGTGGAAGGTCCAGCTGTTTGTGTGGGAGCCAGTGCTGTTCGGGACCTGGGATGGTGTGTTCACATCCTGCATGATCAACATTTTCGGGGTGGTTCTCTTCTTGAGAACTGGCTGGCTGGTGGTGAGTGATGCGCTGGGGCCCCCCCACAGGGTCTGGTCTGTGACCTGGAGGTGCTGCCAGTCTTGGGTGTCCTGTGGTGCGGGCCTCGATTCCCGAGCAGGAGCCCCAGAGACAGGAAGCAAAGTTTGTTCTTGTAAAGGAGAATCCTGAGAGCCTGGGCCTCAGACAGAGATCCAATGGAAGCCTCACCATGATTTCCCCTCCCTCCCTCCTCCCCTCCCACCTCCCCTCCTTCCCTTCCCGCCCTCCTGCCTTCCTTCCCTCTTCCTTTCCATTGAAGTAACGTTGCATGATACCATTATACAAGTTTCAGGCATGCTTTGTTGAGATGCCACATGTGTATATGTGTATATCCTACATTAAGTTCACTGCTGAAAGACCAGTTTTTTTTT